GTCCTAATTATAGCTGCCGATTTCCCTTTCACGGCACAGTTAATCGATGGCCGGTGGACCCGGACTCGATCCACGAGATGTGTTTTCCACACGGCTGCTGCTAAATTGAGAAACCCCTGTCGCCCATCCCGATCCCGTGTCTGGTAGTGCGAGTGAAGAATGAATCAACCGCCATCTGACCCTCTGCGGTGGCAAAGATCCCCTACCATTTTCCCGTTCTCATTCTTGTCCAACCACACCGTTCGTCCGCTGCCTTCCATCCGCCCAAGTGGGTGACATTGAAATTGAGACACTCAAACATTAAGCTGCTTATTTTCAAGTCTGCGATCGATATTATCAGATTATTAAGTGCTAATAATATTTACCACAGAGACAATATAGCGGATATTATCACTTAATTTCATTTTATACTACTGAATTTCTCTATTGATTGTAGAAAGTAGTCTGTTTATAACCAACTCTTCCATTAGGTGTCTCATTTCTCCTGTCACCCACTTGCCGCCCTCCATCCCGCTGCTCTGACGTCGTCACCTGCCGAGCCACGCCTGGTCATCAAGCCATAAGCCAGATCAATGCCGCCATGGCACTCGGCATGTGGCGGCGACTGGTGAGTGAGTGATGCCTGCCCCCTACCCACATACATGCTGCCATGTACATGTACACAGAACATCACGCCCAACAAAAAGAAAAAGCCTCGGGTGTGATTGGCACACGCACATATCAGACAGAGGCTGCCTCAGCACCAGCCGCAGTCCGCGTCAGGCCCTACGTGGAAAAAAACACAGCCCCAGCTCCACCCGGCGGTATGTGAGAATGATGATTTATACTTTGGACTTGTAAACGCTCTTGCGCTATGTATCTACACAGTGCAAATACCGCCCGGAGGAAACCGAATCGGCCGTGAGAGGTAGGCGATACATGGCTAATTCCCGCCAATCGGTTGTTTGGGAGATCCGCCCAACGGCTCGGTTGTCCCGGGCGGTTTCTGTTGGCTGTTTCGCTGGTTACAGATGGAACGGTAAAGGATTTTGGGTTTCACGGCAAGGAACGGGGACGCATTTTTGGATTATAAGGTTGTGAATTCGTCCATCAACATGTTTGGTATGGTGAACTGAAACTGCTGACTTGATAGTAACAAATGTATATGTGATATCCGACCTCTCCATCTCTATCCCTATCTCCAACCCTCAAATAAGCTTCAAACTGTCCATCTCCTCCGGCTATTTAACTTTCTCCCATCTCTAGCTACTTATGCTTGTCTGAAAAGGCCCGATGATGTTTTCCCCTGGGCCCTGGTTTGTAGTTCTCTAGTGCGACGGCTCGTCTAAGGTTCAGGCTCGACAACTCCTCCGGCGTTCCTGACAGACAACTCCCCCTCGCTGTGACTATCCTTTGCTGGAGACTCCAACTCGCGGCCAAGCTTATAGTCGAACTCCTCGGCGTCCCCCAGCGCCTGCGCGGTCAGCCAGCTCGCATCCCCAGGTCGCTTCCAGCCCCTCTTCAGCTGCCTCTCGTAGCTCACCCGCTTCAGCCTGCTGGCCTCCGCCGGCGTCAAGTGCAGGTAAATCTCGACCCCGGCGATGTGGATGAACATGGCGAGGAGGAGGGAGAAGGCGAACGTGGCCTGCACCGCGGCGCCGATCTCGTGCAGCTTCGGGATCCCCTGCGGCGTGGGCTGGGCGCTGCTGTCGGCCTTCACGGCGACCCAGCCGTCCGAGTTGTTGGCGCAGGACGGGTAGAAGAGGGGCGCGAGCCCGGGCTGGACGAGGCTGTCGATGGTGTCGACGGAGCGGCATCTCATGGGGATGTACATGTCGGGCAGGCCGGAGACGATGGGCAGGGCGGCCTCCTGGATGAGGCGCTGGGTGACGATGACGAAGGAGTTGACCCAGCAGCGGAGCATCCACGCCCTGTGCTGGTCGATCTGGAGCCGCTTGATGTTGACGTAGGCCAGCACGGCGCAGGTGACGGAGACGACGGCCAGGAAGCCGATGGCCATGCGGGTGTCGAGGCTCCCGCCCAGGGCCTTGTCCGCCATGAGGATGGCGCTCGCGTTGCTGCCGAGGAGGAGGGTCAGGAGGAGGTAGCCGTTGAGGCGGTGGAAGAGCATGAACTTGTGGCGGACGATGGGGAGGAACTGCCAGAGGAGGAGGAAGCCGATGGGGATGACGCAGATGAGGTGCATGAGGATCGCGACGCGGTGCCTCCCCGCGCTCTGCCACTCCCAGTCGCCCGTCACCCATTTCTCGTTCTTGTAGGTGTTGTCGAGGTCGAGATACATGGCCCTCGAGGCGCAGAAGCCCAGGCTGGCGCCTCCCAGGATGAACCAGAGAGGGAAGGCGTAGCCTTTCTTGAACCCCAGGGGGTTGTAGATGCGACGGACGAAGGCCACGAACTTATTCGGGGCCTCCTTTCCGTGGGACTTGTAGTAGAAAGGCATTGTTGCAAAAAGCAGAGCTGGATTAGAGTATAGAGAGAGGACTAGGAGTAACACTAGATGTAACGAGATATGTCTGAGGAGAGAGTTGAAAGGCTTCTTGGAGTTGAACTGACACAGGAAGCTCTCGACCTCGAACTTGTGCGTCCGGACATGTTTCTTTATAGTGCTCACTCGAGCATGAATTCTCATGTGTGTGATGCCAGCGCCCGCCGTGATGCTCCCTCATCTGTCGTGGATTGTGAGACTCCCCCAGCCCCTCTTTCCATTGCGTATTACCTGTCGACGCTCAAGCCGCATCTCACGCTGGAGCTTTAACAGGGGATCGATATTGTCTTTCGCACTCGGATAGAGGAAAGCAGCCAGGTGGAGTCGGCGATGACAACTTGGCAGTGCAGATTGGTCGTCTATGATGAGGCTACCGGTCTATGATGATCGGATCGCTCCTGATTACACTAAATCCCTTGTTCTCGTTCGCGGTTTCTGGCCCTTTTTGGGGTCAAATAGCCAAGCTCATACATTGCTATATTATAAGCAACACTCTAGGGTTCTACCTGATACAGCTTGCCACTGACTATTACTAAAACCCTTAATATCATTCGCGGTTTCTGGCCCCTTTCGAAACGAGAGTTAATATGAAGCTTATGTATTGCCGCACTATAAGGACCAATTTGGGGGCTGAGTAGCAGCCCTACCAGTCTATGATGATGCGGATCGCCGCTGATAACACGAAACGCTCGTTCTCATTCGCAGTTTCTATCCTCCTTCGGAATATAGAAGCTAAGCTAATGCATTGTCGTATTATTAGGAACAACGTGCGGGCGGGAGGGAAAGCTCTGGTGGAGGGATGATGTGGTCATTGACTGACTGACCAAGGCCGGCTACAAGTCCCGGGGAGACTATGTGCCGGAGCAGGGTGAATACGCTGGCTTGTTTTGGAATATTGAGACACGTCTTTGTAGGATTTTCTGCTGTGGGCGGAGGGTTTTGCTTTGCTTGGACTCGCACTCGGATTCACTAGTCCCACCAGCATGCGCGGCTGGTGGGCGGTGTATCATCTCCCCGTGCCTTGTATCACTCAATGCTACCTAATTTCTCTGCCACTGAGAACGTATGAAAAAAGCTACTTGTGTATGCAGGGCTAGTAATTATGCTTATTCGGTGTTTGAATTATCATTGAACTTCTGTCTAGCGGCTCATTTAGAGGCCTGGAGAGCGACTCCTTCTTGCCAAGCAATTTTCACCGGCCTTGTGAGACATTCCTGCATGAATGAGGGCTGGTCGATTTTCATGACAGTTGCAGGGACCTTCAAGTTAGATTTTTACATTTGGAAAGCACCTCTAGGTCCCCATCCGGGAGGATCAACCTGGATGAACTATGATCAGTGCATAGAGCGAGTAGACTTTGAATCTCTGTCGCGCAGAAAGAAATTATGTTGTATTCTGTAATCTTCTCTAGCTTTTCATGAACCTCCAACGGGTAGTGTCTATACAGTATCTCGTAAATTTGAGACCAATCGCGACGTTGAACCGGGTTCACCCTCGTCGCTCAAGAAAATCGAGGGTCGCGGGTGACACTGGGCGGTAGAGAACAAATTCCAAGATCGATTTCTACTTCTCAATCTCGAATGAAGATTAACCTAAAATGTTAGGTCCCAGTGTGAGATCAAGCCTAATCTTGGAATAGTAGATTTGACGAGGAGTGTCAAGTCTCATCCTGTTCACACACCAATGATGGACATGGCAGTCAGCTCATCATATGTGATGAGCTGTAACCGAAATTACCTTTCCGTTGGAGCAACAATTCTTTGAGACCCAAGGTGACCTTGGCTAGCTTATTGACCAAGTTCTTGAGAGCATTCCGGATCAGAATGAGTCCAGCATAAGCAGTCATAGCACGATGCAGACCTATACCTTTCGTGGGTAATATCAGCGACGGGGCAACAAGCCCAAGCGTGAGCGTAAACCCTGCCATCGTAGCGTCTAGCATTCTCTTCAACATATGCCCCCAAACCCTTCATCGGTCTCAATAAGATAAGCCATCATCTCATCTAGAGTCTGAAGAGTAATGGCACCAGTGCCCTGCTCCCAACTCGAACTTCTTCTGGCAAGATTTGGCCAGGCTGTATCTTGATTTGTGGTAGAAGAGCTGGGCTCTCTCTTGACTACAGTAGCGTCTTGTTGGAGAGGTCTGGGGACACTGCAAGGTTTCTTTTAGAAACGGGCGGGACTCGGGCTGCTGGACCTGCTTCTGCGCTTGAGTGAATGCCGTCGTGTCTTTGATGTCCTCGGTGTTCTACTCGACTTGTGTGAGCTTTTGCTGAGCTCATCCGATTGGCTAGAGGAGGAGCCCCGCTCCACTAGGCCTAGAGCAGCGTTAGTGGTTTACAGGTCGTTGTGCCCCGCAACCGCGAGTAAACAGTGGCGGAATCAATAGCACGGCTTATCGATTCCATCCAGACCGAAGCACCAGGCAGACCTAGCTGAACCGCATCTGCAACCACTTCAGCTCTTGTCCGAAGCAGCACCAGGCCTCACCATTATACAACCACTAACTGGCAAAATGTCGTCAAAACCTACGTCCAAATCCTCGTCCAAGGACCCATCGAAGGAAAAAGATAAGTCGAAAACCCACAAGCTCTCCCTCAAGGGAAGTTCCAGACTGGTCGCCGAATTTGTATGATCGCACCCTTCCACCCCTGGTCGCGACGAGTGGGCTTGGGAATTGAAGACCGCATGATGGCTGACTGTCAATCTTTCTTCTCGACTTTAGTTCCAATACTCCATCCATTCAATTCTGTACGATCGACCGAATCCCCCCCCTCACCGAGCTGTATCACGAGACGAAGCTAACATCAGACTTGCTCCCAGGTTCCAGCGAGGCGTCTATCCCGCTGAAGACTTCGCAGCGTTCGTCCCCATCTCTCCGAACACATCTACCTCCGTCATCATGCAACATCCCGTTGCTAACCATAAACCTCCAGCGTCAAAAAATATGGTCTCAACATGCTGGGTACCTTCATGTCCACGCCCCCCATCATGCGCTGAACTCCTTTTCGCTAACCCTTCCTCTCCCTCCAGTCTCGTCCGATGATCAAGTGAAAGCCTACATCAAGAGGATTATGTCGCAGCTGGACAAGTGGATGGTCGGCGGCAAGATCTCCAAGCTCGTCATCGTCATCACCGACAAGGACACAGGCGAGCACGTCGAGCGATGGCAGTTCGATGTACGCAACCTTCCCATGCCTAACCCCCAATCTGAAAAACGAGCCCAATCCTAACAAATACCAAAAAACAGGTCCAGATCTTCCAGCCCACAAAGTCCAAGTCGAAATCACGAACGCCCGCGACCGACCAGGAAAACTCGGCGCAGGGCGGAGCCGCCGCCGCGCCAGACAAGACGGAGCAGGAGATCCAGGCCGAGATCGCCGCCATCTTCCGCCAGATCACCGCCTCCGTCACCTTCCTCCCCCAGCTCAGTGGGGACTGCACGTTCAACGTGCTGGTGTACGCCGACGCCGACTCGGACGTGCCCGTCGAGTGGGGGGACTCGGACGCAAAGGAGATTGAGAATGGGGAGAGGGTGCAGCTGAGGGGGTTCAGCACGGCGAACCACAGGGTCGATACACTTGTGAGCTATCGACTTGGAGAGTAAAGGGGTGAACAAGGTGCAAGTGCTTTTTTTGTTTATAGCGTAGCACGGCATGGGGCTTCTCCAACAGACGCATCAAAAGAGAAAAAATTAATGATTCAGAACTGCTTTCTCTAAGAGTGATCACAGATACGGGGTGTTAGGATGGACACGGGCACAACAAGATGGGGAGTTTCGACGGGAAAGAAAATAATCATCTACGCCTATTCTCCTGCTTGCGAAAGCCTCCGTAATTTCGCAACAGCCTTCGCAAGACCTCCTATCTCTATATGCCTCTACTCCCATCTTCAACCCTAACCCTCTTTCATGACGCCCTTTTTTTTTCTAAAATCGCCTGTACCCCTCACACTGAACGCTCAGCCAACTAGATAGATGCAAATTGTTCTTGTCCTTGTGGCATTCTTTTCCTTCTACAACGCCCACCAAAACTCCGTTTCAAACTCTCTTGAAAAAGTACACATACGCAAACTTGCGCATCTCTTCCACATCGTATGCTTCAACGACCTTCTCATCGTTGAAGAGAACCCAATGAGGGGTTCCATCCCCCAGGGTCTTGCGGATGAAAGCAACATAGTGTCTATACAAGTATCAGCAATTGAACATACAAGTTAGCCAGTTACCGGCGAAGATGAAACATACCCTGCATGAATGCTAGTTCCTTTGTGGCAGACTATAGACTGCAACTGGAAACTTGCCGGCAGCGTGGCGCTTCCAGCGGACGCTTTGGGAGCGGCATCAGCAGACTCGCCTGCCGAGTCGTCCTCCATAAGGCCCTGGTCATCGGGATGGCTGAACAGCCATTCAACCGCACGCTCGACATCTCCTCCAGTCTCCTTGAGTGCCTTCTTTGCCTGTGGAGCACCAAATCCCATGGCACCCAGCATTTCGATCTTTTCGGGATCAGCCGTGCTTGCGCCGGCACCAGAAGAAGCAGTCAGGACCAACGGCTCATCGATGTCAGGATCCTCCATGTGTGCAAAGAGCCACTCCATCGCAGAGTTGGCATCAGAGTTGCCAGTAGCGTGCAAGGCTTTCTCGCATCGCGCCGTGGGGAAGCCCATACCCTCGAGCTGGGCCAGAGCATTTGGCTCGGGTACAAATGCGGCAGCTTGGGGTTCAGGTTCGTCTGGGAGTAGTTCTTCCGAGGGCTGCAAGCCCTTGGAGAGGTATTTGTCAAGTAGAAAAGACTCGTCGGGGACTAGAACAGGGACATCAACCTTGATGGGTACCCAGTTTACTACCGTCATCTTTCTAGCATTAACGGCAAGGGTGTCGGGGAATGTCTTGAAAAGCGATTGCTTGGTGAAACCATCTTTGCTGCCGCAGGCTGAGCAGGTCAGCTCGACCTTTTCTGCCCCTGTAAAGTTGTCAAGGCACTCCTCCAGAGTGACAGGCTTGTAAGCATCAGTAGCGTCTCCCGACTCTCCGATTTGGGCGACCTTCTCCAAGGGAACATCGATAAAGATGTTGTCCTGAGTGGTTGTGCTGTACCTAACCTTTGTGCATCCTAGACACTGCAGACGTTGCTCAAGCTCAAACCTGAATGTACTGGTAGGGTCCTTGAGGCTACCAGAGTGTTGGGATCGTGTGATGAGCTTGAAAATGTGTTGGAGGAATTCAAATGCATCCTGCTGTCGCATTGTGGAAAATTCTTCATGGTCTCGACCGACCAGATACTTGAGCATAGCTGGTGCCAGGCCCTTCTGGTATTTGACCTCAGAATCAGAGGCGACCTCGGAGTCGGGGACAGAGTATCGGCCTGACAACAGACCATCTGCAATCTTACGAAGCTGGGTTTCGAGGTCACCAGCAGGGTCTTCTACCAAAGGAAGATCCTCCTTTGGCAAGTAGTATCGCTCCTTGAAGGACGGGAGGTCAAAGAGACATTGTATGATGCTGGCGAGATAACAGCTGTTGCCCAAATTTTTCAAACCCGTCAGTTCCGAGCCAAACACAGGCTTGAGCTCCTTGCCATCCTCGGTTGTCATACTGAAGTCCCATTTGAGATTCTGCTCAATTTGCATTTCCGTCAGGCTCTTCTCAGTCTTTTGTCTCTCGGCTAACACGATACCCCAGTGGGCCAGATGCTCGCCAAGGTTGTCATCCAGACGCTCATCGTCGCACCTGTAGCAGTACACATCAGCAGTACCCTCGGGGGTGATTGAGCCAAGCTTCACAGCAACTCCGTGACCGGACTCCTGGCTGTGGGCTAGGGCGTGGGAGTTGCCATCAACGCCGCCCATTTGCTTGCGACCACACCCAAGATTTCCACATTCCACACAGAGCCAGAGATTCTCCTTGAGATCACAAGCGTAGCAGTGGCTCAAATCTCCCTGCTCAATCTTGCGGGAGGCCTGCTGATGAAGCATTAGGATATGCTCGCAGCTTGTCAGCTCCTGCTCCCATGCCTTGACTTCTTCCTTTCGTGCGAAGGTGTTGGCAGTGATGATTCCTGCGACGACAGGTGCCACCTTCGGATGCTGGATATCGAGCTTAACGTCGCACTCGTGGCACTTGACATAAAGAGCGGTATCGTACTTGTCTGCTTCGGTTTCGGCCGCAATAGCCAGCTTAGACATCTTGGCTGGGGGCTCATCTCGGATAATGATCTTTCGGGTTCGTGTAATATTCAGGACCAGAGGGTGGGACCAGAGAACATGATGAAGATTCGCATGGCGTCGGTCGCCGGTACAGCCGCCGTTAAAGCATTGGAGGCATACGTCAAGGCCACCAGGTCCATCCTAACGCAGCCAGGTCAGACGAAGGGAAACAAAAGAGCATCATACACGGTGTCTCGCAGACTCGGCTTCTGTACGTACAATGGAATCGAAACACTGGGTGCAATCTTCTCGATAAACCGATTGGGACAATAGAGGCGGAGGGAGAGATGCTGCTTTCTTATTAGTATCTATGGGAAATTTTGTTTTATCTTGTGAAGTGGGTGGTGACTTACAAACCGAGTCGAGATGAGGGCAGCTCATGGTGGGCTCTATCAAGCGTGCAACAACGAACAGCTTTGCAAAGGATTGGAACAAAGGTGCTGCATACGCCAGAAGTGAAGAGGTGACGACCGTGGGGGGGTGAAGCTCGTGGGTTTGCTCAAGATCCCAGTAATGAACCCAGGCAGCCAAAAGTGCTTATGTTGTTGTTCGAGGAGCTTCCAGTGCTCACCTCAATGCTGTTGGTATCTAGGCACGTAGGCAGGCACGGCACGTCAAAGCTTTGGTAAGTGTCTGACGCAGACGGCGGGGGCGGGGCGGCAGCTCATGTGGCTAGTGGAGGCTTGTGCCAGTGTGGCTAGTGCCGATTGGCGAGAGAGCCTATCGCCCACTCACCAGTCTGCTGGTCATCCCAACGTCATGTACGCAGGTGGCGATTTGCCGATGCTCTGCCGTTTAATGCTACTCTTTGCGGTGGGAGCAGAGCTGGTGGAGGCGACAGTCCAACTCCCAGACGCATTGTCTCCCTGCATTCACGGGCATTTGGGATGTACATAGCCGCACTATCACCGTCTGAGGGAAGTCTGTTATGTCCGTCTCCTGGACGTACGCGTACGGGATATTGAATTTGCCGATTTCCCAGACGAGGCCGAAGTACTACTCACCGGTTCCAGGCTCTCGCCAACTTCCAAGCTATTTCACGAGGTCAAGCTGCAAGGTTCTTGAACCTCGGGGGCGCAACATGACCGATCATTGCTCGCTGATTGGCCCGTTCCTCCGCAATCGCAACTCCGAGGGTCGGAGATGTTCGGTCATTCTCGCTGTTCCTTGTGCGCAATCCCCAGTTCGCCAGTCTCTCACCCGCATTAGACCAAAGGAACTCTAGTCTAGCTCGTTCCCATATTTTTTCCGGTCGCAATTGTTTTAGAAAAAAAATTGTGAGGAACAATTCACACAGTTTATTTTCAGAACCACGCACTGCGCTGGAGTAATCCAACAACATAGTAGTACAGGATAGGGAAATTACAGCGACAATATTCAAGCATGCATCCTAGACGCGAGGCTGCATGAAAGCCTCACTTGAAGAAATATGGCTGTGCGCATTCCTCAAGCCTGAAAAGTCCGGCCTCGGTGATATGAAAACCCCCCCTGGCAATCTTATCAGATCCAATGATCGGCGCAAATGGCTGCTTAATCAGCCGTGTCTCCGAGCAGCCGAGCTTCTCACTCACGTAATGACTGAAAAGTTGCATCATCATTGGCCGATAACGTTTGGAGCTACTCCACAGTCGCCATCGCCAAGTCCCGCATCTTTTCCCAAGCATTTACTTTTGATCCGTCCATGGGTTCTCCTCATTCCAATTCTACATCCTCCTCCTTTCCATCCACAGCCACCTAGGACAACAATCGAAATTCCAGACTCGACAATTCCTGCATCATCAAGACCATTATCGCCTGGCCCTGGTGACTTTTAGCTGTCCATCCGACTCGTCAGAAGCAAAAAACGCTATCCCTTTGGTACAATTTCTGTAGCCAAAGCAGCGCTCTGACACCGACCCTCCTACATTCATATATTCCAATTTTTTCCACACACAATGCTCTCCAGAGGTCTTCGGGCAGTCTCTCGACGGGCTGCGCCCATCGCTCAGGCCGTCCGCCCAACTATTCTCGCCCCTCGCCAGCTCGCCATCGCCCCGGCTCCCTCGGCTAAGCGCCTCTATCACGAGAAGGTCCTGGACCACTACTCGCGCCCCCGTAATGTCGGTTCCATGAACAAGAAGGATCTCGATGTCGGCACTGGACTTGTCGGCGCCCCAGCCTGCGGCGATGTGATGAAGCTACAGATTCGCGTGGACCCCGAGACCAATAAGATCTCGGACGTAAAGTTCAAGACCTTCGGATGCGGTTCCGCCATCGCCAGCAGCAGCTACCTGACGGAGCTTGTCCGAGGCATGAGCCTGGACGATGCCAGCAAGGTCAAGAACACTGAGATTGCCAAGGAGCTCTGCCTGCCACCTGTCAAGCGTACGTATCTCCCCTCACATAGCCTTGGCCCGAGCCACT